AAAAAAGATTAGGTATTTTACTTCTTTCAGTTTGTGTGCTGGATATCTGTGCATTGCTAAGACAAAAAAATTACTCACTCTACCGCCGCGAATATCCTAACCCGCAACAATGCTTAAATAAGTAATCAAGGGAATAAGAGAATTTTGGGAAAAAAATTGTTAGTCCAAAAAAGAAGAATTGAGCATTAAAATTAGATGATGCACTTTAGGCTTTCCTAAATTTTTATAAAACCCCAATTGGAATGTCTCCATATAAATTGATTTTTAAGAAAAGTTTACCACTTGTATTTTGATCCAGCACAAATCTCGAGGCAAAATCAAGTTGGAAATTTCAAAAATAAAAAGTGGGAGCATTTGAACTCCAATTTTGTGAAACTTATAGTCAAATTGATCATGTCAAAAATACAAGCCCAACATCACCAAATTCGACTCAATCCAAGCTCAAATGGGTCCAAATCAAAGACTCGAAGCACTTTTGGAAGGTTCAAACTACAAATTGGATTACAAAATGATTTCTAAACATTAGACGTTAATAGTTGAATCAAGCGGCTTGACGAGACGAATCCAACGAGCCCAAGATCATCAAATTCTGATATCATTAAGACATTCAAATGTCCAATAAATGCTCTATGATCAGGGGAATCATCATCCGATTGAACACTCCAAACCTACCCCAGATCTTTTCTATATTTATGGGATGTGCCACTCATGAAAATCTATAAATTTGCCTCACTCTCCACAAGAGGGGGACCTTTAGCTAGAGATTAGAGAGAGCTCTGAAGCTTTAAGAGCTCGAGCACCATTGCTCGCCCGTCGACCGCCGTTGAACTTCAGCCCGGCCCCCGTCGGACCACCGCCTGGCCGCCGACCGCCATCAGAATTCAGCATGACCACCATCAAAACAACGCCCGACTGCTGATCGCCTCTAGACTTCAGCCCGACCATCGTTGGACTACCGCTCGGCCGCCAATAGCCTCCGTACATTAGCCCAACCTTTGTCGGATCACCGCCGACTGCCTCCGGACTTCCACCTAGCAGCCGAGCGTCGTTAGACTTCCAGCCCGACCTTTGTCGGATCATTCCTTGTTAGTTGAACTTCTGCCCATACGTTGTCGGACTTGCGCCTGACAGTCGCTAGACCTTGGTCTAACTCTCTAAACTACTGCAATTTGACTGCTCCTAAGTCAAGGGACAGTTCAATTTTTGTAACTAATTCAAAATTTAGTGGAATCTTTTCACCTGGGTGAGGCCCCGTGGTTTTTTCCTCTTTGGGCTTTCTACGTAAAAAAGATTAGGTATTTTACTTCTTTCTGTTTGTGTGCTCGATATCTGTGCATTGCTAAGACAAAAAATTTACTCACTCTACCGCCGCGAATATCCTAACCCGCAACAATGCTTAAATAAGTAATCAAGGGAATAAGAGAATTTTGGGAAAAAAATTGTTAGTCCAAAAAAGAAGAATTGAGCATTAAAATTAGATGATGCACTTTAGGCTTTCCTAAATTTTTATAAAACCCCAATTGGAATGTCTCCATATAAATTGTTTTTTAAGAAAAGTTTACCACTTGTATTTGGAGTTAGAATATAAAGCTTACTGAGTAGTTAAAGAATTAAATTATAATCTTAAGGATGCTGAAGAGAAAAAGCTTATACAGTTGAATGAATTGCAAGAATTTAGAAATAATGCCTGTGAAAATGCCAAATTTATAAGAAGAAAAATTCAAAAGTGGTTATGATTGTAAACTTATTAATAAAGAACTTGAGCCTTGACAAGAAGAATTGGTATACAATTCAAGATTAAAATTATTTTCTTAAAAGCTTAAGTCCACGTGGTTAGCTCCACTCACCATTATCAAAGCATATCCTTTTTGAGTTATGGATATAAAAGATGGTAAAAGATAGCATTGAGGTCAGGTAGCACCACATTTCTACCCTGACTGGATCTAAGATCCAGTCCTTTAAAATCCACTTTATAGAGGAGACGGATATCGCTAACCAACCCAACCCAATCAATAGTGTGATAGAGATCCTAGGATGCTGGGCGATCAAATAACAAACCTACAAGATAAAGTGGATCATATCAAGGTTTCTATGGATCAATTTAGGCAACAGTTGACAGTACTCGAGTAGGGGATATATTTTAAGTATGACTACATGATGCTCCAGCACTAGTGCCAGTTTTAGTACCATGCTAACTAAAACATAGCCATGACCAACATGTTCAAAAGTCAGGAGGACTCCCATGATCAGAGAAATATACTTCCATGCCCATTACTCTACCCTTGGAGATGTTTCGATGATCTTCATCAACATCAGTAGCAAAAGAGGTAGCATGAGGAACAAGAGGAAGAAAATGATAAGTAGGAAGAGCTCTAATGATATTGTTATTTTACTGTATTTTGATTTTATTTTATTTCTTGAATTTTACTTTCTTGTAAATAGTAGTGAGAAATTTATCAAATAAAATAATTTAACATTTTTTTGGAAAACAATTATTCAGCGAGGTTAGGTATCCTTAATTAAAAACCATGTCAGCGATGGCGTCAATCGCATATAGGGCTGCCTTTTTTTGGGGAAATTAGGGCTGTCCTTGTCTCCTTGAACTTCACATGTTTTGAATAAATTCTACGTTCTCTAGTTATTCTTTGACGTCCTTGTCACGATTCCTGGCTTGTGCTCCCAGCAAAACAGTCCGCCCTTTTCTTTTACTTCAAAATGACATAAAATAATAAAATTGATAGTTTGAGAGGATTTTTTTTGGGACATTTAGGCCATTTAAGACAAACTTATACACACAACGTATGCACATACTTGAATCTTGGACCTCTTAGTTGGAAGCCTAAGCTCTCAACCAATAGGCCAAGAAAAGTTTGAGAGGATTAAATACGGCCAACTTTAGAAGGTAATTATCATTAAATTAAGCTAAAAGTAGTAACTGATCATCTAATTTATGTTTTAGTTAATATTAATCGAACGGAATATCCCATTAATATAAAAAACTGGTTCATTTTATCTTTCTAATGAATAAAACATAGCTGTGAAAAAAATAAACTATCATTTAGTTTTAAATAAAAAGATAAAAAAATATTCGTGGGTAAAATTATGTTTAATTATTTTATGAGAAGTCGCTAGAAATTAATCAAATAACCAAACGTTAACTTAAACTCAATTTTTAACGTATTAGAAATTGATACGGCATCACAAAATTAGCTTAATCGGGCACGAATCTCGAGGTAAAGCTAGTTGGAAACTTCAAAAATTAATTTCAGGAGCATATGAACTCCGATTTCAGCGAGCTTACAGTCAAACTGAGCATCTCGGAAATACGAACCCAACGACACCAAGATCAACCCAATCCGAGCCCAAATGAGTCCGAATCAAGGGTTCAAAGTGCTGTTGGAAGGTTCGAACCGCAATTTGAGTTACCAAACAGTCTCCGATTTTGACGAGCTTATACTCGAACCGAACGGCTCGACGAGACGAATCCAACGACCGTAAGATCATCAAATTCCGACATCATTAAGGCCTTCAAATGACCAACGAACGGTGCATGATCAAAGGATTTATATCGGCCGTCCATTCAAACCACTCCCAATTCGCCCTTGATCTCAAGCCTATTTACGGGCTATGCCACTCTAGAAAAACTATAAATAGAGCCCTCATTCTACACCAAGGGGGGGCTCAAGTGAAGAGAGAGAAGAAGAAGAGGAGAAAGGGGAAAAGGAGATTCCTCACCTCCTCGACCACCGCCGGAGCTCTTCCTGCCGCCTGAAGACGCCGGAACTCTGCTGACTTTTCGGGAAACACCGGGAATTTGCAGAACTTTGTAACTTTGTGAGAAGTTGATTGTAAATTGATCGTCTTGCCGACTACGGTCCTCCTGACTTACGTCGCCCGCCGACTACAGTCCTCCGTCGCCAGCTGACTACGGTCCTCCTGACCTACGTCGCCCGCCGACTGCAGTCCTTCTAACAAAGCGAATACGTCGATAGTAGCTCTTTGTATTTACATCATGTAATGTACTCCATAAGATGTACATCAAGCTAAGACCTTCCACCGAGGAAGGGCCTCATTTGTAATCGACTGCAATACTAGTGGATTCATTCAAACTGGCCTAGGCCCCGTGATTTTTCCCCCTTTTGCAGGGGTTTTCCACGTAAAAATCTTGGTGTCTCATAAATTCTAGACCCTCTCTCCTTATCGGATTGCGTGCCGGATTTTCGTACAATGCTAAGACGTTAAATATGGTATTTCTCTACCGCCGCGAATACTCCTGGACGCAACAGAAATAAATTTTCATTAGAAGCAATCTGACAAAATAAATGATACTAATTTTATTATTCTGATTTTATAACACATATAATGATTAAAGGGAATCAAATCCACTAATGGTTTTACTCTTCTATAAATTAATCTTAATTTTAATATTAAAAATAAGAACAACATATTTTATTTTTAGGATTAGTTTGATTTTTTATTTTTTGGAAAAAGTTTTATCTCCACTAATAATTATAACTATATTATCAATGCCCTATTTGTGAGCTTTTTTTTTTTTCTATTTATTTACATGAAAATGCTTCTTTTCAGCAATAAATTAGGCTTCATTTGATTGGAAGTTTTTGGTACTTATTCCTTTAGTTCGTCAAATCAACTTTCCAATAACTCAATTTGTTTTATTTTTCTGTTGTTTTGAGAAAACTTTTTATATATGATTCTCCGATAGAAAACTTTATTGTTTGAACCAATATTTCTTAAAATTAACTTTTACAAAAGTACCAAAAAATCAAACAAAGCCTTAATATGTTGATATTTTCATGTATTTATTAAATAATTGAGGGTAAATTATACAAATTTGTATTTTGTATAATATATATAATTAATTAATTAAAATTTGGTTACAATGCTATTAATTATGCCCTAAAAAAACCTTGGCAGATTTTACAGAACAGCGTTCCCGTTCCTTCCAACGGCTGATCGCACGCCACCTCATTTATTAACCGCGCCTTTAGCTGCGCTGCGATTTCTGAAGGAGCGGCGGGAGAAAAAAGCCGTCATTGCTTCCCTCCTTGAAGTGAGGAAACGTTGTTTTCCCACTTGTGTCCGCATTGCCATTCCTACTCTGCTCTCGAGTCTCTATCCTCTTCGGAGTCGGCAGTGCTTTTACTCTTTTTAGGGTTTCCGTTTTGGGATACCTTTAGGCTTTAGCCCGGTTTATAGATTTTTTAGGATCGCTTATTCGGTTGGAGGGTGAGTGTTTGGTGGACAGATTGGAGGATGGTGTGTTCTTCAAAAAGCGGGTTGCCCGCGTGGTTGAGCGCTGCATCGAGGATGGACTTTGATGGAGCAGCTAATGTTTCTAGGTCTGATGCTTCTTCGACTGCTTCGTCGCTGTCTTCTTCTGTCGTTAATCGCGGGGCATCCGAGGACTCTAAAATGGGTTTCGGTGAGCGTTCCCTTTCTGCAGCCGGGGCTGCCGTTCTATCCGCTATTCTTGTGAATCCTCTTGACGTTGCCAAGGTGAGTTTTAAGTTGTTTTCTTGGTGTTACATTGGTATCAAAGTGATTGGATTTTGGTCTCTGATAACAGAGAAAAGTTAGCGCATCCATTATGTTCTTTTAATGTCTGTCATATTTATACTTCTGGATTGCTGTGATGGTACTGATTTAAGATGCACGGTGTTTTGCATTGGTTCGAGTTTGCTTTTATCCACGCGCGTGGCATGGTTTTAGTTTGTTAATGTTTTACTTTGTATTTGCTTTCTTGGTTTCAATTGACAACCTAGTTTATTCTTTTTTTAATTTGTTATCTACAATTGGGCTTTTTATTTGATTTACTATATTGCGAAGGTATAAAAGACGTGGTGACTATTCATGGGGTCGCACTGATTGTTAAAGACTATTCTTTTTTGTCCATTTGCAGACCCGGCTACAGGCGCAGGCAGCTGGTGCTCATTATCATCAACCGCAGCAGGATTTTGGAAGACGGTTTGCATCCCTTGGCCCCAATACGGTATATTTCAAAATTAATTTTAAAAAAATACTTCTCTAAGTATGCTTCTTTGATTTACTTGCACTAGGATATGGAGTCTTTTTATATTGTTGATGTGGTGTAAAGCAGGAGAAATTATTTTGTGTGGAATCCGATCACAACGATGTGTTCGGTCTGTAACAGTAGCCAATAAAAACATAACGCGTGGCGTGCTTACGTGGAAAGTTAAGGCCCGACTCATTTGTATTTTCGAGAGTAAATAATAAGAGGCCCGCCCAGTATATACAATGAAAAATGCGGAAAATTTTAATATTTTCCAAATTTCACATTTCGGCCATTCGCTCCATTTCTCCCGAGCTTCCAGCAAAAAACTCTCGCTGAATTCCTCCAGCAATCTCTTCTTCTCATCATGGACGCGGAAAAAGATTTACCTGCAAAGAGAAAGGTGCGAAAATTCTTAGATTGTCATAAAATGAACTACGGATATCTTTGGTATTCAACGCGTATTTGCTGAAGAAACCAAAAATAAATTTAAATCATTCTGAGTAACTATAAAAGTTTAAATTTATCTCATCATTTTCGTTCTTTCTGCGTATTTTCTTTGTACACAATGTGTATAATCTGCGTAAATTTCCTTTATTTTATGCGTATATGTTGAAGACAAAACCTAACATTTTATAATAAGTACTTTGAATCTTTAAATCATAAAACTAAACTTTCAATAATAAAAAACGATTAATGTACCATAAACCCTAGATTTATACGGATATTTTTCTCATACTTTGCGTACATTGCGTAAGGTATGCGTACACAACGCGTATGGTATGCGTACACGTTGCATATGGTATGCGTACACGTTGCGTATAATATGC